AATTTTGAGTTCCAGGCTCTGAGTTCGTGAAGTCTCATACTTTCGGGCTTCATTACTTTTCTTCGCAATCAGCCGCTTCGAGCACAAGGGATGGCTCTTGTCTCCACATTCTGGAGAGAGACAATGCAAGCGCACTCAATCGCAACATCTTCCGGGTAGACGTGGCCACAGATACCTTGCGGCATGTTGGGCTCGGTCTTTGAAGAACAGGCTGTGCCTGTAAGTTAAGTTGTAAAGCCTCAACAAGGGACCGTGTGCAGCTTCCTTGACATTGGTTCTTCCCTCAGTCCTATAGCTTCTGCAGTTCTGGCGTTTGGCCCGTCTTGATGCTTTGACTGTCTCCTGTAGTGCAATTGAGATCCAACTTACAGCACTTGGCAGTGCAGGTTTAAGCCCGAATTCCTTCGATTTAGCCGAATCAGTTTCGACTTTGTCCCAGAGGCTGCGAGAGAATTTCGTGTCCCGACTCATGTACAGCCTGCGGTGGTGTTACCGAGTCCGAGAGTCCAGATGCAGAAGAAAGCAAGGCTACCAAGCACAAACAGATCAGGAATGTAACCCGAACCCCGACATCCGACCGTGACGGATCTGTGCTGGCAAGGGCACTCCTTCCGGACTGCCTCTGCACGACATCTGGAAGGACGGATCAGGGTGAGCTCGCCTAGGGACCCGTGGCCGAAAAACAACCCCCAACTACTGCAATACGCGGTTTGGAAACAAAGCCAGTATCATGTTAACAAAGAGACTTGCGACTCTGTAGCGTGGGTGGGTTTGGGTGAGTGTTCGGGCTTGTCAAAGAGGCGGGGATCGACTGCATGTATGTTCCCGGCTACTACAGGGGAGCAATGCGTAGGACACTGAAATCACGACTTTGCCTTCTCGCGGGCTTGCCACAGGACTTCCTGTTCATGCTGCGCCGATCCTCCTTTTGGGTTCTGTGCCTTGGACCTGACTACACTCAAAATCTCAGGTGATGAGTGGGACTGGGACAGCGGATTGGTTAAGTTAATTCGCTAAAAGGCAAAGCGTGTATTCTACCGGATCCTGCCGTCTGCATCAGGTGCGGCATTGCTTTCTGTAGGCATCGGCTACTTCCGTTTGCACCCTTACTAGATCTTACTAGGCAAGTCATCAAGATCAGTCGAAGATCGAGGTCGGCAGCATGCACGCCCTCTGACCTTAGATGGTTGATATTTTCTACGACGCTTTGAGCATCTCTTGAGACATGACCCTGCGTCATATTTGCCGGCAGTTTCGAATCTTCACCTCATGTCACCGACCTGCAGGATCCTCCAGGGCGCTTTCGCCAGCACGACTGTCAAGGTTCGCCTCGTGTCTTCCCCTACATTTGCGCATCGTGCTTCCAGTCCAAGGTCCCAAGGTACATACACTTTTCACCAAATGCCTGTCAAGTTACTGACTGTGTGTGCATGTATTTCCAGAATCTCTGAGTTGTGCAGTGGGGAGGTCGTTGTCAAGATGCCAGGCCATGCAGTACCAGATCATGTGGTACCAGCTGCTTGATGAGACAAACGATGCACAAGCTTGACTGTGTTTCTTTGTTGTCGGAAGCCCTCGGCTTCCGGATGATAGGGGCGACCCTGTGAAGCAAGCTCCAAAACTCAAGAATGTTAAAAAGGTTTCTAAAGCCTGAAGAAAGCGCCAGCCAAGGTATCTGGGCTTTAGCGACCTTGTGGCGTCCAGTATAGCATGTGCTGCTACTTGGTTGACATTTTCAGGATATTTCAAGTGTTGCAGCAGAGCCTGTCTTCAGACTTGCGGACCATGCAGCAACCAATGCATGTGCGGTACCACTTCAGCAACCCAATTTAGTGCATGAAGATTGCTGCCAGTATCTGGTTACATGTTTCTCTGCATATCGACATTCAATCTAGATTCGGGTTGTCTTGCTCACAGCTTCGAGGCTCCCTTCGGCAGCATTTTCGGGTCAATCGCGGGCGGCTTTATCTCCGACTGGATGGCCAAGCACTACCCGAGGCCTCTTCGGGCTGTGGTCAGTGGCCGGGTTGCGAATCGTGTCGCAGCTTGAAGTCCTCTATGAGCTTGCAACTAGTGTCCGTGTTCGAGGAGCATCGACATGACGAAACTTAGGATCATAGATGTCATAGCTTGGACGTGATCTGCTAGGGTAGCCAACTTCAAGCAAAGGCGCAGATATGGTTCCGGTTGGGCTGGCTTGCAGAAGCTGATGTGCCGGTGTAGAGTCTCGGTATTCTGCGGTTGGATACATGTCGGACTGAGCTGCAGGCTTGCGAGCTTGTTTGCTTTCCAAAATTCAGCCCTTTAAAAGCAGAAGCCCGTGCGAGGCACGGCCGCATCACATATGGCCAGCTGATGGACTTTGTGAAAACGGTCGTCCTGCTCTACACGTTTGCTGCTTGATGGCACGAAGCGTCACGAGACGTACAGGCAGCCCCAGCTTGTGACTGTGTCTGCTAGCGTTATTGCAGTAAAGAAAGTTCCCGTCCCCTATGGTCTATGTCATATCCAAGAGAGCATCCCAAGGTTCTCAGCGACACTCCCAGGCCACGGCCTTGCAATGCGCTTTACAGCAGGATCACAAGTTGGGGTCCTTCAACGGGGGGGGAGAGAGAGAGAGAGAGAGAGAGAGAGACAGAGATCACATCCACGGCCTCATCTCGTAGCAGGGTTACTGACAGACCTGGACGACCAGTGCGCGTGCGTGCGCGGGGAGGGCTTGCCCTCCTTTGGCTGTGCAGAAGAAGAGACAGAGCGAGAGAGTCAGACTCTCTCTCCGGAGAAGGAGGGAAGCGAGAGAGAGAGCGAGAGTTCTGAGGAAGATAGCTGTCATAATAGCTTATAAAGCTTGTTTCTGCGGAAATGGTGATACTCGGGCGGCTGCAGTGTCTACCCGGGTTTCTTTCGGCGGGGGGCAGAATTTCTTGCGGATACCCGAGCTTGCGCGTAGACTGAAGCAAAACACTGCTGGGGCGTTATTACGTCGCGGCGAGGGGAGCACGCTCCAAATCCGTTGGGTCAAAGAGAAGCAAGCCTGAGACGGCTTTGTAATCGGATGAGACTACAGGTGGCTATCGGAGCTGGCAACTTCAGTTAAGTTCTTTGAGCCAGCAACTCCACCAAAGGCTCCAAGAGCATTTTGCACACTCGCTCGCTCTCTGCTTCTCTGTGCTGTGCGTACATGCATCGCTGTCGATGGCTGCCCTTGTTTTCAACGGGTGTTGAATTTGGAAGGAGTCCCAGGCTTTTCATGAATTTGATGTCAATCGGTTTCAATGCTTTCCATGCGAAGGATTCGGTGGATGATCAGGATCCTTAAGTGAAAACAAACGCATGGGTCGTTCTTCTGCGTGTGGCCAGTTCTTCTCGTCTGTGAGATTTCGGCACCGAGCCCGTTTTGTGTCCGTTCGTGCGAGCCGAAGAGAGAGTCTGCTTGGTGCCGCGGAGGCCGGATACTCCAAACATCTTCATCACGAGGAGGGGGCTGCAGCAGGGACATGGCCTCACATGCCAGACTGAGCAGCTCCACAGGACCGTTTTGAGCTTCTTTTTCGGCTTCTTCTCGATCATGGCCTACTCAGCAGTCGCGGCCTCACCTGCTTTCTCAACTCTCAGTTCCATCTAGCTTTGTGTTTGCTTGTAAGGTTGTCAAGCCGCTGTTCGCCGAAATTGTCCCGGCTCAGATGATCGCGCAGGCGCTTTCCACTTTCTGAATCCGTTGGTTTTCGTCTGCATGTGATTTTCCGCGTTTTTTTCAAGCATTTTCTGAGTTCGATGTGTGCGAAAGCAGCAGACTCATAGCTGCAGGTTTAGACAAGTGTAGACCGTACAGATCCGTACAGATTCGATCCTGCACTCCAACAGCATGAGCAGTCTGGATGCAGCGTAGAGGCGAATGCAGTGGACTGTTTCTCGTTTTCATTCAGAATCCGCAGGTCATCGCTTTGGCCGCGGCGATCGACGGCGGTTTCGCATCGATAGCACCTGACCTGCAGTGCTTTGAGTTCAGGTTGTCGCATGGCTCACACTCACGGCAAAGACAAGGACAGAGGCGTTTAGGACAATTGCCAACGTCAAGTTGATTGGCACTTCCCGCAACCACTCACGGCTGTTTCAAGTGCAGGGGGTTGGGGTGTGCAGCAGACTTGAATCCATGTAAGATTGTGTGTTAGGGAATATGAGGGAGGGGTGAGGACTAGCTGGCTGTGGCTACCCGTCCTGTTATGTGGTGGGCATGACATGGTCGTTCTTGCGAGAGATTGTGTCATGTGCTGCAGGCAAGCACGCCTGTCGTGGGATTTATCACGCAGCACTTTTTTCACTACAAAAGGCGAGCGGGCCAGATTGATTTCAGTGCGTGGGGCAAACCCCTTGAGACCCACCTGTGACCACGTGTCGAGGGCGATAGGCAGGCGCTACATGCCTCATGTCTGTGCATCGTTCCAGATAGCCAACACACGAAGTCGCAAGCCCCAAACTAAAGCCTGCCACTACAAGCAGATTGCAATGCCCTGCCAGCAATACGCTGCCCATCAAAGACATGCCGGCAGACTTGCGGCGAGGCAATGCCCAGGCAACTTCAGCTGCAGTGCGCTTGATGTGTTTTCCGAGCCTTCGGACTCATGCTTGGGGGATGTCTCCGGGTGCGTAACAACGTAGCACTGAAGCAGTGGAGTCGCTACATGGGGTGGTTCTTCCAGTCTTCCACCTTGCCAGCTTTTCTTCCACACTTCGTTTGCCCGGTTTGCGCTGAGCGCCCAAGCCTCAAGGAGTGAGGCCCGAACGATGATGGGATAAGGAAGACGCAGTGGATGACACACAGGTTTAGAACCGGCGGGCTAGGCCTCCGAAAGTTAAGCTTGACCTTCGAAATACCAAACGGAGCGACGCTGAAGCAGGCGGGCTGCAGTTGCCAAACAATGGTTTGCATCCACTTCAACGGACGATGAATGATTGTAGAGAAAGTCCCCTGCCATGAGAAACATGGATGTGACGTGTGTCAGATGGTACGTTTTGCACTGCCCTTGTACGTCAGCTCGGGATCTCCTACAACCCTGAAACTCCGCTCATCTCCGACAACCGAAAAAGCTTTACGCCCAAAATCAGAACACTTTGCTCCCGACTTCAGAGGCACTCGGCCAGTCGATCGCCTGGGTCACGCTGACGGGATCAGTTGTGGCACTTATCATCTTTAGCCTCCCGGCGAGGAAGACTGAGAATTTTGGCCTGGCTTCCCAAGTTGAAAGTGGCCTTGGAAGGGGCAGCGGTTGTCTCCAGATTCCTGGAGTCTCTTTCAGCGCAGAGAAAAGTGAGCCTTGACAACAGTGCTGCAGGTTTTTTGCACTTCACCTATCCGAAGGCCCGGTCGCAGATCTGTGAGTGCAAAGAGTGTGGCCAGCTGGTAGGCTGGCAGAACGTTGCCGGTTTGAGGAAAATTGGTCTGGCTTCTGGGATAGTACTGGGAAGAACCATGATAATGACACTAACAATCCTTAATGATAGTAACAGTCACAACAAAGCTCATTGATTCTAGTAAAAACTGCTCAGCTCCTGCTGCGGCGACCAGGACCAGGATCACCACAGCGAACATGAACACGACCACGACTAAAACCACCAGTACCAGCACCAGCACCAGCACCAGCACCGGCACCGACACCGGCACCGGCACCAGCACCAGCACCAGCACCAGCACCAGCATCAGCAGCAGCACCACCACCACGGCGACCACCACCACTACTGCCACAAGAAAACAGATTGTCTTGCCATAAATTACAACATAGGGTGAGGT